ATGTGTGTTTTGTTCATTCCCCATTAATAGTATTTCCATGGTAAGTGAAGTATTCGATGATTAGTTTTAATTTTTGAGTTGACACAGGCTAGAATCCCCTGGGAGGAAAGTCTCAATGAGGGATTGTCTAGATTGGGTTGGTCTGTGGGCATGTCTGGGGGTGGGAGGACACTCTCTTTATTATGTTAATTGAAATGGAAAGATCTGTACCCACTGTGGGTGGTACCATTCCCTACAGAGGGTCTTGAACAGCGTAAGATTGAAGTGAGCTGAGAACAAGAATATATACTCTTTGTTCTCTCCCTGCTCGTGACTGTGAATGTGACTAACAGCTTCAAGTTCCTGCTGCCTTGACTTCCCTGCAGTGATGGACTATGACTTGGAATTGTGAACCAAATAAACCCTTTCTCTCATAAATTGTATTTCTCAGCATTAATTTTTTTAAAAAAAATTTATGTGGACAGATGTTTTGCCTGAATGTATGTGAAGTGCGTTCATGTCATGCAGTGCCTGTGGAGGCCGGAAGAGAGTGTTAGATCCCCTGGAACTGGAGAAACAGCCTGTTGTTAGCTGCCATGTGGGTGCTAGGAACTGAACCTGGGTCCTCTGCAAGAGGAGCCAGTGCTTTTAAACCACCGAGCCATCTCTCCTACCCCTTTCTCAACGTCTTTTATTATAACAATAGGGAATAAAGCTTAAGACAAGTATCTATTATCTATTCAATTGTCTGCTTCTGGTATAAGGCCTAAAAATCTATATTTAAAAATTAAAGAGTATACCTGGATACTAATTTTAGATTTTTGTTTGGAAGCTTTGAGAGTGAATAAGGGTAGTATCTTACTAAGTGTTTGGATTCTGTACCTTATCACTACAGCCCAGATACACCCACACTGGGATAATAAAGAAGCTTACAGCATTGCCCCTTCTGTTTTTTCTGTAATAGCCCTAAATGATGGGTAATAAATAGAAATTCAAACTGGCTCGTTGTAATGATGCCAACCTTTCATTTTACTGTTGGCATGTTGCATATCTTGTCATTAAAAAGCATGTAGCCCAATGCCTCTTCTGAGTCAGGCATTTAGATATTGGGAATATAAACTAGTTCCCTTTCAGAAGAGCTGGGAATGGGAGTAGACAAATGACATAACTCCCCACATAATATATCGGTAGACCCAGCAGGAGATGGCATTCACTAGCAGGCTGAAAGTAAGGGTAGTTTTGCAGATAGAGAAAATAGATTATGGAAAAGTAAAACAGGACAATAGAACATATTTGTGAGTCACTATGCTTACAGCTTAGGCTGCTAAGGAATGAGAGGTGTTAAATAATTCTCAGCACAAAGTAAAAAAGACTCAAATACAAATATAAAAATGAGCATGTGGCCAGGCATGGTGGTGCACGCCTTTAATCCCAGCACTCACGAGGGCAGCAGAGGCAGGCGGCTCTGTGAGTTCAAGGCCAGCCTGGTCTACATAGTGAGTTCCAGGACAGCTGGGGCTACAGGGAGACCCTGTCTCAAAAAGACCAAAAAAAAAAAAAAAAAGAGCATGTGTTAAAGGAGTTTGTTAATTTATTCGATGAAAGCTTATAACTAGTTCAGATGAGAAAAATGTGTGTGACAGGGCCTTACTTTCTAGTGCAGGCTGGCCTCGAACATTTCTTTTGCCTCAGTTTTGAAAATGCTAGGATTGCAGGCGTGTACTACTAAGTCCAACCTTGAAAGCATTTCTATTTGTTTTTGTTCTTTGGTGGTGGGGATTGGACTGAGGGCCTCATGCTAAGTAAGCATTCTGCCCCTGAGCTACAATCCCTAGCTCTCAGCTTTGAAAAACTTTGAACAACACAAATTTGTATGAGATAATAGAATGCATAAATTGTAAATGGCAGCAAAGCTCTCCTGTCCCACAGAATGATAAAGATTACCATTGAATCTAGTCAGAATGGAATTTACGTGTCTGTAAGCTACCCAGAATTGATAGATTTGTCAAACAGCTGTAGTAGAACCTATCTGATTTTCTCTTGAGTAGAGCAAGTCTTTCTGTCGTAGTAGCAGGAAACTTTTCCACAGAGCACTTGGCAGTGCTCTACCAAGGAATCTGTGAGTAAAAAGAGAATGAACAAAACTTTAGGGATAGGAGCACAAGTTGGGCTGTATTTCAGAGAGCAAAATTGAGATAGCAGTGTATAGGATTAATTTAATGAGGGGGCAGTCATACATAATGTCAGAGTGAAGAGAAAAAGAACAGGTTCAGTCATTAGACATTAGGGATTAGATTCCTTAACAGTTACTGACTGAATATATGAAACACAGAGACAAGATTGCTATCTTTATGTTTTTTATTTTAATTTTTATTTATGTGTATGAGTATTATGCCTGCATGTAGGTAAGTATACCAGTGTCTTTCAGTGCCTGCAGAGGACAGAAGAGGTTGTCGGAGCTCCTGGAACTGGAGTTATGGCTAGTTGTTAGCTGCCATGTGGGTGCAGGGACTCGAACCTGGGTCTTCTGCAGGAACAGTGTTCTTAACCACTGAGCCATCTCTCCAGCCCCTATCTTCAGGTTTTTAAGGATAACTTATCATTTTATGAGAAAAGGAATATAAAATGAGGTAATATTAGGAGGAGGATACAGGATACTAAAGTGGAAATGTCCGTTGGGTAATTCCAAATCATTAATTTATAGGCAAGAAGAAAGATTGTGAACTAAAGACTTTAATTTGAGAATCAACAGTTATATTAGAATTTATAAGTAACTTCAATGAGGGGGAATTTGGAAATGCTTTTGAAGTTGGGGTTTATCTTTTTATATCTAATACTATTTTCATTTTCAGTTTTAGAGAAACATTGGAAATGTTACTTTCCATTTTCTCTTTTTAGACCATCCAATTATGATGGATTTTGAGCCCCTTGTGAACCAGAGGCTACTTCCACCCACCTTCCCTCGGTATGCAAAAATAATTAAAAGAGAAGAAATGGTCAACTATTTCTCAAGATTAATAGAGAGAATAAAAACTGTGAAGTTGTGAACTTAACCAACTTACATTGTATCCTGGTAAGTGTAAATTTCTATTCTAGTATATATCTTTAGTTTAATAACAGAATAGTTTGTCTTTTTTTTTAGAGAGACTGGCTGGTAGAATAATAAATAGTACTGCTTACCTCTTTTCTCTGATAGAAAATTAAGTGCACACACACATATCACATATTTGATCTTTTTATAGATTTGATATATTTCAGAGATTAAGAAGCTAAAAGTAAGAGTTTAGATAAATCACCCAAATTTTAGGAATAGGATTTTTAATTTGAATTTTGTCTTCAAAATATTTCTGTATGTGTGTATTGTGTGTATGTATGCATACATGTATATATAAGGATTTTTATTTTTTGTGTTTTTTTTCCAACATCATAACTGAGGATTAAACCTATTGCCTTAAAGTACATTCTAGTCTAATGTTCTACCACTCAAATACGTCTCCAATCCTTTTTAGAATTTCTTATTTTGAGACAGGGTCTCACGAAGCTGATTATGCTGGCTTTGATCTCATTCTGTAGTCCAGGCATGCCTTGAACTTGTGATCTTCCTGTCCCAGCCTCCTGAATAACGGAAATTACAGGTTTGTGCCACCAGGCCTGACTGTATAAGGGTTGTTACATACAAAAAATGGGGTCAATAAATATATATATTTCTATATTATTTTGATGATATATATTATAAACTCATTTAACAGTGTTTAAAAGTTCATACCAAATTGCATATGTCATCTTTACTGTTTTAGAATGCACATTCAATACAAAGATGAATACCTTCATATGTAAATTTATATACCATGTGTACTTTTTTCCTCCATAAGATAAGTTCCTAAAACAGTGATGTTGCTGAGTAAAAGATTCTGTACATTTTGAAGTCGTCATGTTCTGTGATTCGTCTCTGGAATAAGGAAACAGGGTGAAGGTGGTAGCACACTTAGGATCCGAGCACCGGACACACTGAAGCAGAAGCAGCTCAAGTTCTAGCCTAGCCAGTGCTAGACTATGTAGTGAGACCCTGTCTCAAAGCAAAACAAAACAAATCAGAACTAGGGGAAAAAAGGAAGAAAAGAAAAAAGTTTGTTTTCAGAATATCAGATATTGGCATACACAGCACTTGGTTCACATGAATTTCTGTAATGCTGGTGTATGCATAAATCAAAATTTTTATTTTCTTTATATTTAGGTCTAATATATACAATCTCCTAGTTTTGTTGTTTTTCCCAATAATGATTTCTTAACAATTATTCATACACAATACAGCATAGTGGTTATTAATTCAATTTTGATCCATCCTTGTGCCTTCTGTTCTGTCTGTGACACTCATCCCTACAGGCATCTAAGGCAGCAGAGTGACTCTTTAATTTTCCTCAGCACTTAGTCCCAAATACCCTGGCAGAAAATTAGAGATTACCTGTCAGGGAGATGACATTTTGTCATTCCACAACAAAGGGAGCTGGGGGAGCCAGACTTGAACTGACCAGACCTGAACTCCTGGTACTGTATTTTGAGATGGCTGAGTGAGGAAGGTGTATGAGTCCCTAGAAGACTTGAGACAAATGGTCCAAGAGAGGAAGTGTAGCGAAGGCCAAAGGATAGGAAAAGATAAGAGAAGGTAAACGACTAAATATTCTGGATCACCCATGAAACTAGTTTCTTTTATTGTTAGGATACCAGTGAAACCTGTTACTGTTAATCATTAGGATAAAGTGCCAAGTGGTAAGAAGTGTTTACATATGAATAAGATAAACTAGACTGATATATATATATAGTAATAAAGTGATATAGTCATTTTCCGGTAATTCTATTCTTAAGGTGTGTATTTCTGAGTTAATATCTTTCCTTGTAGAGGTTGGCATAAAGTAACCTGAAATAAGAAATAAGGATTGTATTTGTTGAAACTAGGACAGTGACTTAGTCAATAAAGTGCTTGCTGTATAACCATGAGGATCTGAGTTTGGATCCCCAGTACCCATATAAAAGCTGCAGTGCATATCTGTAACCCCCACAGGGGATGACATTTGGAGACAGACTGATCCCTGGAGCTCAACAGCCACCAAGCCAGCCTAGCCAAACAAATGAGCTTTAGTTTTAGTGAGAAACCCTGTTTCAAAACAGGTGGAAAGTGATTGAGGAAAACACTTAACATCAACTTCTGGTCTCCACATGAATGAACAGTATAGTTTATTCTTTGCATTTTTCTACATGTTCAGTGTTTTTGATATTTTGCATATAAAGAACATAAATGTAAGGAGGGCAGAGAAATTAATGAGGAAAAAAAGATTAAGAACCTGGCAAATGATGCTTTTGACAGCTATGGAATAATACCTAGTTTCAATGCAGTAAGTAATAGACTTTATGAATTTTATTTTGTGAGGCATATGTGCTAGCTTTAAGAAATTCAAAAATAATCAGGTGTGGTGGTACACACTTTTAATCCCCACACTCGGGAGGCAGAGGCAGGCAGATCTCTGTGAGTTCCAGGCCAGCTGGGGCTATAGGGAGACCCTGTCTAAAAAAAAAGAAGAAGAAGAAAGAAATTCAGAAATGTTTATAGTGATCCATGCTTGTAGTTTCCAATATTCAGCAGGCTGAGTCAGGAGGATTACAAGTTCGATCTAACCTGGGCTACATAGTGAGATGCTGTCTCAAAAACAGTGCAAAATGGAGCCTGAAGGTAGCACATGGCAACATGTGTGCTTAGCACATACAAGGCTGCAGGGGTCCAAGGGTATGGGCAAGAAATGGAGTACAGATGAAGGTATAAAAGTTAATAAATAGCAGATACTTTTGTGTTTTCATTGTGTTAAGGCTAATAGACATTGATGAAGAAAAACATAGCATCCAAGCTTTGCATAGGCTTCTTATAGTATTAGACTATGATCAGGTAGACATTATAATGATTCTAAAATTACAGACTAGAAGATAAAATGCATAATGAAGAAACCAACCTAGATGATGAAGGAAGGCTTTGTAAAGAAATGAAGTTATTCTAAGAACTGAGCATGTGTTAGGATGGAGGAGGGTGTTTCAAAGGAACCAGAGTATTTCTCATTGTAGCAAGAAAGGACATCATACAGTTAAGAAACTAAAGAAAGCTAATAACCTAGAGATAGAGGGATGGAGGAGTTGAACTTTGGCAAGAGAGGTAGGCAGGCCAAGTGTGTTGGTTACTTACTGCTGCTGTGATAGGACACCATAAGTGAAAGTGACTCATTGAAGAATTCATTTTGGTTTAGAGTTTCAGATGGGGAGTCCATAATGGCAAGGGAAGCATGGCAGCAGGTGGCTGGAGCAGGAAGCCGAGAGATCACATCTTCAACCCCAAACATGAAGCGTATAGAAGGAACTAGAAATGGGACAAGGCTATAAATTCCCAAAGCCTGCCCTCAATGATAGTTCATCAAGCAAGGCTCTGAGTTCTAGAACCTTCCTAAACAACTCCACCAACTGGGGTCCAAGTGTCAAATACCTAAGTCTGTGGAGGTCATTTCTTATTTAAACCACCATGCCAAGCAAGGGCCTTTAGGGCACACACAGGATTTTGGTTTTTATCATAGGGCAGAGGAAAGCCATGGAGGTGTATGTAGAATCAGAATTTGGTGCAGAAATATAATTGGATTAACAGTTTGCAAAGATGTAGTTGCTTCATGATAGAGTAAAGATTAGAAGGGGCCCAGAGGAAACACACGAATAATAATTATACCATTACTGTAGACCAGGGAAGAAGTGATAGTAATGTGGACTAAAAGGATGGCAGGCATAATGTTTTTAGAGTTAGGGCAGGTAGAAGCTAAAGTAGACAAAACATTGGTGAGGAGTTAACTGTGAGACATGGAAGGCATTTAGGACACTCTGGTGCTAGTAATTGAAAGAGGATCTCTCAAAAGTGAAACAGATTTAAGGAACTTAGTGAAGTTGAGACAGTTGTGCCTTTGAGATATTTAAGTAAAGGCACTGAAGTTTTGCAATGTGGACAGAGATAGCATGTTGTTTTCTTTATAATGTATATAGTAATTTAAGAGCAGTGACAACATTGTGAGGAAGAAAATACAGATTGAGAAAAGAAAATCATTTAAAACTAAACTTCAGGGGACTGGGAAGATGGTTCAGCGAGTAAAAGTGCTTTCCATGAAAGCCCGACAACCTGAGCAGGATCCCCATAGCATATGCAGAAGCCAGACGTGGTGTATATCTGTACTCCCAGCACTCCTATTGCAAGATGGGAGGTAGAGACAGAAGAATCCTCTGGAAGCTCACAGACCAGCTAGCCTGAAGTATGTAGTGCAATGGTAATAATAAGATACCCTGCCTCAGAAACAAGATGGAAGGCAAGGACTAAGACCCAAGAGGGTCCTTTGACCTCATGTGTGCCATTGCGCGTTTGTATCCTCACACAGAAACACGCATATACACATATTTTTTACAAATGTGAATTTTAAGCCTGTACACCTAGAAGTGACCAAAGAAGAGGAAGCTCAGGAAAGTCAGTTCATTGGTTTTTCAAGGAGGGAGTTATGGCAAATGCTGCTGAGAAGTCAAATGAGAGAAATTAATAAGGTTCTAAACAAATGTCCAAATAGTGATGGTGACAGTAGCAAAGAGCCAGGTTAGCATGTGGTATGGATCAGTAGAGATAGTAGATACAGCCATCTCTTTTGGAAAACTTGGCTGAGAAGGTGGCCTTTGCGAGGGAAATGGGAACATATAAGGTATGGGAGATACTTGACTGTTTATATAAAGTGGGGATGAGCCCAAAAAAGAAGGGAGAATTTCTACATCTAGCAGAACAGAGGATCCGTAATTGATGATGTGTTAGTATTCCTGGAAATTTTAAAGTCCTTAGTACAAGGGGAGGACTTCATGTTGAATCAGTGAGAAGATGTGGGTAAGGGTAGTAGGTTTGAGGCTCAATCTCAAAGGTATCGTACTGGATTGATGAAATATTTTTTTTGTGATACAGAATGGGTTGTAATTTTTCTGGTGTACAATATTCACTTTGAGGGCTGTAAGATTTAAAAGTTA